TTTCATGAATTTTGGATAACCAGAACTATTTTTCCCATTTTTAGACCATTATAATTACCAAAAATTGGAAAAAATAGTAAGACATGATGAACAATTTTGAAATTATTTTCTGGAGTCACCCATCACAGGTAAGGTATGCGAAAATTGTTAGATATAATTTTCACATCGTCTAAAGTGGTTTTGTAATTTATCATGCCCTAAACAAAAGAAAATTAGAAATGGTATTAAACAGTAACAAATATTGCTGAAATTTAATGAGGGGTCATTATTTCCCATAAGGATCATCCATGAATTTAGTTGGGATTTATTGACCTAAGGAAGTATTTTATATGATTTATGCCCTTGGTTTTAGCAATAATTCTAATAAATCAAAGGAATAACAAAAGCTCTTGAAATTTTCCAGATTATCTCATGCATGCAAGGGCTTTCAAAAGAAAAAATGTTAAAAATGTATTCAGAAGAGAAATGACGGTAATGATTCCAAACAATTTAAGAAAAGTTGCATGCAATAATGCATGAAGTGTAGATGTGGCTGAAGTTCATGAATTTGTGTAGCCCATTCAGTGAGGTTTTAAGCCACAAAATTTCAACCATCATTCACTAGATATGTTAAGTTTCTAAGGTATTTTTCCTCAGATTTATGGTTGGGTTTAAGGCCATTGATAATGCAAGACAAAAATAGTGATCACAGAAAAAGAACTGTATGCGCAACCATTTTGTAAAAATTGCCAATACTCGGATATTTAATATTTTACAGTAAGACCAGTTGAGTTTGAAATTTAACTCGTCGAAATAACCAATACAAAAAGAATATAATGATTTGGTTTAGAAATGACTGAGTTATGGCCGTTCAAAGTCGAACAAAGTAATCTGGCAGATTGCATGTTTGCTTGTGTGCATTATTAGGGTATTTCAACAAGAACATCATGCATGCCTTTGGTAAGGTCCGATTTCTAACACATGCATGGAATGAATAAGCATCCAAGATGTACTAGAAATGGTTTAAATGCTTTTGGTCATGCATGAACACAAAAGAAATGGAGAAGAACATGAAATATTAGGTTTTGATGTCACATGATCATATGTACATCTTTTTCACTCCTTGCATGGGTTTGATCCTAGATTTTCACCATCTCTAACACATGCATTGTGTTATGGTGAGAATCTACAAACCAAAAGGGAAAATATAAAGATTTCTAGCCATGGAATGGCATAGAATCCGAAAAGAAGAGAAAACTAAGAAAGAAAAGAAGTAAAATCATGTAACTATGGAAGAAGATGATGTTGTTTACCTTTGTTATGATCTTAAGGGATGTAAGAACACTTCAAGGGCTTCACAATCTCGAAATTTTTCAGAGGAATGAGAGGATTTTCGTGAGTTTAGAGAGAGGGAAGAAGAGAGTGAAGTATGTGAAGAGTGGAGTGTAAGAGAGTGAAGAAAGAAGAGGTGGAGTGAGGGTTTTGACTTAATGATTGTGTTTTGGGAAGAGAGAGTGTATGGGGAGGGGAGATGGTCGGTTCTTACATGCATTTAGGCCTCCTCTCTCCCAAATTTTAAACTTTATAAACTTCACCTCCATCATTTATATAAAAACATTCATTTTTTTATAAAAATGCTTATTAAGCAATTTGATTTATTTAAAAATCTTGTTTTCAACAAATAAATTATGATTAATACTTGGTAATTTAATTTCTATTTCATTGACTATAATTCATAATTTTATTAATAACAATTTGATATTAGGAAGTTTATAGCCAAATTTTATAAGGTTTTTAAGCTTTATAATTTATAACTTTGGATTTTTGGCTCTTTAGGGTTTTTGGAATATTGTTTGATATTCAACCACATGTTGAAGTATAATTAGAATGTTCTAATTTATTTTTAGGGTTTTATACCCTATTTCAATTATAACAAAGCTTGAAGCTTTATTCTAATTATAGTATTGGCATTTCCTATTGTAGCTAAGCAACTTACTAGAATTGTAAGTATCAAGTATATTAGTCCTAGACCTTAGTTGGATCCTAGTTTATGCAAGATTTTTGACCTAATTTATACTACTAGGTCATGGCATGTTGTGCATGAATGGTTTTTATAAAGATGCATGAGTCCGATAATGACCTGAATTGGCAGTTTTCACAAAATGCGCATAACTTCTTTGTTTCTTGCCTATTTTTGGTGATCTTTATATCCAAGAAAAGCTAGGAATATATTATATAACTCTATTAAGTTGCTTATCGTTGAATAAATACACATATTAATCTATAAAGTAACAAAGTTGGCCTAAAGGCATAAAGTTCCCCTTTTACCTTTTGACTAGAAATGCATCTTCTCATGCATTCTTTCTCGTAAACTTACTCATCTAACCTTTTATTAGTGGCTTAAACTCTTCTTGGATATTTTTATGAATTCACAAGTTCATAATATCATCATTTTGTCATAAATGACCAAATTTCCTTTTGGTCAATATTTGAGTAAAGGTCAAATCTTTACAGATTTTGGGTTGTTACACCAGAGGATGCAAAATGGAAATAGTTGATGGAAAATGAGATTCAATATATATATATATATATATATATATATATATATATATATATATATATATATATATATATATATATATATATATATATATATATATATATATATATACATGATAACCAAGTATGGAACTTGGGTTATCCTACACATGGACCTAAAACCATTGGGCGTAGATGGGTCTTCAAGAAGTAGACTGACATAGATGGGAATGTACATACTAATAAAGCTCGGTTAGTTGCAAAAGTATATGCCAAGACTCAAGGAATTGATTAGGAGGAAACATTCTGACTAATATGGTATGCAAGATTGAAAATTCCATTTATGGAATCAAACAAACACCTCAAAGGTGGAACATCTATTTTGATGAGAAAATCAAGGAGTTTGGTTTCTTAATAAATGAAGATGAATAACATATGTAAGTTAGATCTAGTGGGAGAGTAGTTGTCTTCCTTGTTTTATATGTTTATGCCATTCTTATTGGTTTAAGGTGGTAAATAAGAGCTAACTGTTAAATGATATGTGGATGTAAGTTTCCAAACTGACATGGATAATTTTATATCACCATATGGTTTTGGATTCATGTAGAATGGGGGAGGAGTGACATGGAGGAGTTCCAAACAAGAGACTATAACAAAATCAACTATAGAGTCAAAGTATATTGCATTCAATGAAGAAGGCAAGGAATCAGTGTCTTCGAAGAAGTTGATCAATGATTTGGGTGTTGTTCCAAGCATAGACGAACTAATTGAAATAATATGTGATATCAAGGGTGCGGTTGCTTAGTTAAAGAACCACAAGATCTAAGCACACAAGACATAAAAATTGGAAGTTCCACATATAAGGAAGCTAGTTGAAGATAGAGACATCATTTTGAGCAAAGTATCATTAGAAAATAATCCAGCTGACCCACTCACTAAGCCATTGTCACAAATCAAATATGATGCACATACTTGTTTTAGTGGCATTAGACATTCTAGTAAATTGGTTTGATTACATAATTTGTATTTTGATAATTTAGAACATTCTAGAGATTATCTTTTGGTAATTATTAATAATAAGATGATATGTTTGTTTATATTATCTATGTTATTTCTTTTTCATGTTTAGAATCACTTCCACAATATTTTTATTCAAACTTCCACAATTAGTCCTACTCTTGTAATATAGTAGTGAATTAAGATTGTCATCTAGTACTGGTAGATTGTTCAAAGGAATGAACATAACAAAGCCTCTGCGACCGATATTGGTGAATACTTGAAAATGAAGATTTTAAGTATTGGAGTAACCACGCTTAAATATTATTCTATGGATCATGTCATGAGTAAATTAATATGACTATATTTGTTATTCTTCAAACAAAGATGCATGAGGTTTTGTTCTGAAATCTGTTGTATCTTGGTTTTTCCCCAACATTATTCGTAATTGGCTGTTATACATCTTCTGACTAGATATTGCATGCGGAATAGAAATGACCTATGTAGTCAAAGTCTATTTGATCCTTCTTCCAAAAATGGAGAAGTAGATATCTTTAGGCCACTCATTAGATTGGTGTTGAAAATAAATGCTTGTCAAGAAAAGTCATTACAAGTTGGTATCGATAAACGTAATCTTGTACCCCAGTTTAATATAAGTTCCAAGGTGGGTGGGTTTATCACCTCCAGAGGTTTTATGTTGGAGATCCAAAAGGATTAATGAATTTCCTCATATATGACTGTGCTCTTGCTTTTATTTGATTAATTTATATTTCTGTATTTGATTTCAATACTATTTACATATTTATTCGATCATTTATCAATTTTTGTACCAAATTATCAACGTATTCTTAAGTATCTTGGTGCCTTTTTGAGTATCTCGCAAAGTTTCTTATATAAATTCATTTATTATTCATTTTGACACTATTTGTTTCCCAAAAATAAAAATACATTTTCTTTCATTTAAAGATAAATCAAATTTATCAGGTGGTTCTAATTATCATAGTTGTTTTACCTAGGATCTTGGGTGTGATAATGATCTTTGGCATATTTCAAGAATCTTAAGCACTCTAGCTTTTAACACATCAAAATAAACACCACACCACACATACTAATTTAGTTATAAAATTAATTTGTTAATTTTTTTACCAAAACAATTTGGCACCATCTGTGGGACAAGTGGTGTTATTTCATTCTTCTCTTTAAAGTTACTCGAAAAGTTTTTTTTATCCAAATTTTCAATCACCTACATATTTTTGAACTAAAAATGTGTTCCTTACCAAGATAAACTTCTAGCACCATTCTATCTATTTCAGTTCGTCAGATCCTTCCCCTACCTCCTCTAACCACCTTGCAAAGAACGAGTGTTGAGATCCTTGGAAGGACAGTCCCAACATTGTCACCATTTCAGTACTCAAGAGGTGTAACTCAAGAAATAATAATTATGGCCTTGAAGACAAGATCATAGCCATGTTGACTGGAATGGATCGTCATATTGCTGAGCAAAGTGAAACCAACAAGATGACAGTCGATTGGGTTGAATCATTAGGCTCAAGTTCGAGAATACCTATAGAAACTACACCAAATCCATCTTCAATCCTAGAACCCATGATCTTGTACTTCGATACATGATCATCTTCAAACTGCCAAGTTGGGGACTTCATATCCAAGAATGCTCCGATATTCATAGATGGGGAAACTCCTAGTGTGGTAGGTCCTGTCTCCCAAGATCTTGAAAGGATATTCAATATCCCGCCTAACACCCAAGAGCCTAAGACAAGCCCAATAATGGAAAACGAACTTAGGCAACTTAGAGATCTAATATGAAATGTAATAGATTGAATTTAACAAATACCATAAGTTTCATTGGTTAGCCATATGATTTCAAGATTCCCATCTCCCATATATGGTACTAAAGTTCCATAAAGGTTTTAGGTGCGAAACTTAAAGATGTATGATGGGACCATGGATCATGAAGAGCATATCGCCCAACATAGAGACTGCTTGTAGATAATCCCATTATGAAACATCTCAAGGAGGCTTGTTATGCAAGGGTTTTGGTGCAACCACTACATGATCCATATTAAATTCACTCCTAAATGTTCCCCTACTCTATTAATTCCTTCGAACATTTTGTTAAGTTATTTAATAATCAGTTTTCTTGTAGTAGATCTTTTGAAAAACTAACAAGTGATCTTTATAGAGTAACTTAAGGTACCGATGAACCCTTGAGATATTATGTTAAGAGGTTTGGAAAGGAAATCCTAGATATTCCACATCTAGATGTAACAACAACCATGGAAGCTTTCAAAATGGTACTGAAGAAATATTATCCATTTTACGAGGATCTTGTCATGACCCCATGCAAGAAGTTGGATGAATTCAGGAATAGAGCTTTAAGATTCATTAGGCGGAAGAAGAAAGGAAGGTCCAGAAAAGGACAAACATGACAGGAAGAATGAGTCTTCCTCCCAAAAATACAAGAAGTCTAAACCTTACTTAAGATCCAAGAACCATAGCGTCAATGCTCTAGATGATGAAGAAGAAGATGAAGTTTATGGTGACATATTTGATTACCGTTTCTCTGTTAATGTTGTAGGTCTACTCAATGCAAAGAAGAATCTAGGGGACAAGGAAAGATGACCCAAGAAAAAGAGAAGATCCCAGGATGGAAAGACAAATCCAATTGGTGTGGTTAACACAAAGATTTTGGATACCTTATCGAAGAATGATTTTCTCTTAAGAAAGGAATTAGTTATATCTTGAGCAACGGACAATTGAAATAACTCTTGGGAAGGAAGAAGGAAATGACTAACCAAGGATCCCAGGATCCTAAAGTTCCTTAACAAAGATTAACGTCTCCTACCTCCGACACCATGGTAATCAACTTTATCTATGGCGGGTCTCCTCAACAAAGATTAACGGCTCCTCCCTCAGACACCATGGTAATTAACGTCTCCTCCCTCAGACACCATGGTAATCAATAAGAAGAGAAATATTGTTATACCACTTCAATAAAAAAAATTAACTATTCCTACACAAACATATAAATTAAAGAAGAAGGAAATAGATGGTCTTTGGTAGATGCAACTATAGGTCACGGGATCCTTACCTTCATAGATGCTTCAACTAGAATTCAAAAAGTCCAAATGAAGCCTTTAGATCAAGAAGACATAACCTTTATAATTCCAATGGGTATATATATTGTTATACAACAATGCCTTATTGTTTAAAAAAATACATGTGCAATAAACCAAAGATTAGTAAACAATATGCTCAAACATCAACTTGGAAAAACCATGGAAGTCTATATAAATGACATGGTAGTAAAATCCAAGAAAGCCAAACATCACCTCCAAGATCTCGAGGAAGTATTCAACATTTTGGATCAAATCAAAATGAAGCTGAGCTCTTCCAAAAGCCATTTTGGTGTTGAATCATGAAAGTTCTTAGGCTACATGGTAACAAAAAGGGAATTGAAGCTAGCCCAGAGCAAATTAAGGCTATCTTGAATTTTCAATCCCCATCCTCTACAAACGATGTCCAAAGATTAAAAGGTAGAGTTTTAGCCCTAAATAGGTTTATATCCTAGGTATTTGAAAGTTGCAAACCCTTTTATGATGTCTTGAGGAAGAACAAAAAATTTGAATGGAGACTACAACATGAAAAAGCATTTCAAGAGATGAAAAAAATTTTGTCTTCGGCCCCTTTTTTGGCTAAGCCTGAAGATGGAGTATCCTTGTTCCTAAACTTAGTTGTGTCGAAGAATGCAACAAGCATAGTCTTGGTCAAAGAATAAGATGGTACCTAACATCCTATGTATTATGTAAGTAAGGGTTTCTGTGGTGCTGAAACCAAGTACTCAAATGTTCAAAAACTAATCTTATCTCTTGTTTGTGCTTCAACTAAACTACACCATTATTTTGAAACTCATCCTATTTGTGTAAAAACTTACTATTCTAATAAGAATGTGATGAGGAAACCGAAGATGTTAGGAAGAATGTCTAAGTCTTTTGTTCAACTATGTACTTATTGATGGGTTTTGGTCATAAGAACATCCTATGTGCTCATACAAACCCAAATGCTTGGATCTAGGTTTCTCTATTGTACATACAAGTTATCCAAGACTATAAACCCTAATTCTAACATATAGAAATCGATATTAACATATAATTAGGTTTAATTTATTACCTTGATTGTTATGTAGAAATAACAATCCCAATTCTTCCTTGTATTGACTTTAGAAAGCTTAGAGTCACAAATGTCACTCCTCTAATGGTTCACAAACACCATAAGCAAGAGGATGAAGAGGAGAGAGGATGGAGGCTGCCCAAAACGTGTTCTAACCCTAGAAGAATCATTAACCCCGTTTTTGGGTCATAAGGGTTCCATATATAGTGAGGCTATTAGGGTTATCTAACAAGGAAACCCTAATTTGGATGCTTAAGCCCTAAGCAACCCATGGAGCCCTTTCCTCAAGGCCTTGGACGATTTCATATTGGCTTCACCCATAGAATTCGTCCACCTTATAATATAAGGCAATCCATGGCCCAAATTGCAATTATCTTATAATTACAATTCCAGTCCCTTAAGTTTAATTAATCTCTTTTAGTCACAAAACTAATTACCAATTAATTATTGACTAATATTAAACAATATGATTTCTCCTTTAATATATTATTCTCATAATATATTAATAAATCATATTTAATCCTTTCTCTCCATAATTCATCCTATCAAGTTGCTTTGGTGAAGGCAACCCAAAAGGACCATGCACCATCGGGTCAAGTACATACCAAAATAGTTATGGACTTACACACTAATCCAACAGTCTCCCACTTGGATAAGTCTAATAACTATTCTGCGTATGACTTCAGATCCTGATCTGCAATCGTAGCTTTCCAAAGCCGCTGTCAACTCTGATCATATCAGATACGCGTGTCCTTAGATAAGGGATCATATATTCCTCCATTCTAGATATCGTAAGACATGATTTCTAATCATTCTCGTTGTACTATTTCTCGATTCCCGATTTATGACGACTGACTAATTGAACAAATCAAATTAGCCCTAGCCCGGCCGAGCATTTACGTTTTTCATCACTAAATCATCGAGGGGCCCAAAGATATCGCTTTTATCCTTCTTTGGATAAAAGGAACGGATAAACTTTGATACAATGCTTGCTTGCACTCACTCACCGAATCACACACAACAATATGTTTTATGACACCAAGTTACTAGTGCGTTATCATATTATCAATGTGCAACCGATTAGCAAGATACAACTCACACATCTCGGTTTCAAGAATATAAGATGTTATCATCTCACCAATCACTCGTGATACAATTCATGGAGTGATCCAAGTGAGTGTGGGTTTAATCCAATGCTCAAATTCATATTCATAAGCACTCATGAACGTTGCAGCAAACATTTGCTTATGTCTAATACTCTTTTAGACAATCCACACACCAATTCACGACAGTCTTCATTCATATCTACTTCCAACATATGAACGACTGTGGCCTGTTCGAATAATTCGACTGTTCTTAACCAATTAAGTTATTCAGGAAGTCAAAACATGCAAAGTGAAACACAAGAATAATACTAATCCCATATGGCCTCAAACCTTTGAGTATAAATAAAACTCCTTTTATTTATCACCATATTGATTACTCATTATTTGTCGTTTCGGGTAATCAACTTCTTACTTGAATTATTACACGTGTCCCATGCTCCTAGCATGCACACAATGTTTACCTATGGCTCTTACTTTGTGAAATAGATCAAATTGGACACATTTCCAATCATTCTCATTTCACAACTCCAAATCCTTTTTCATAAGTGAAAGAATATCAAATTCTTGCTACTTATAAAATATATTAGATTCTAACATTCTATGCAATGATTGTTTCGTAATTTCACTGCACCAAAGTCACAAAGACTATTGCCAATGATATTACAAAATCTTCTATCGGAGATTGTTACAAGACAATTCCTTAGATATGATGTCTCTCACTCAAAGTACATTCCTTTGAACATCCTTTTGCATAAAAGTTTCTAATCTAGACATAGATTTTCAATATTCAATTCCCAATATGGACACGCTTCCATATTTTCCATATGACAACTCATTCTTAATAGAATCTAATCTATTCGTAATGATGTCGATATGGTCCATCCAATATGGAAACATTTCCATAATTTCCATATGACAACTCATTCTTAATAGAATCTTTTCTATTCATAATAATGTCGATTTAGTCCATTCAATACCATGCTTCCAACTACTCATAAGCAACCAATCATCGTCGAACTTTGGATTGTTCTTTGATAGTTGTTTAATTATTTTAGTCAAAACAGATTCTAGTACCTTTTCTCTCTAAATGCGCTAGACATTTTGAAAAATTTTAGAATGGTCAAACAGTAAAGCATTTGCAATCGATCCTATACCCGAAGTGTATGGGACACGACGCATAATGTTTTATGTGCTATGTTCTCAAAATTCGAATTGTGAAAAGGAATGCCGTAATCATAATCGAAATTTTAAGAACACACTATGTTTCTTTGAGTAAGTTATTAACATTCCACAACCTAAGCCTTTAGATTTGAAATGAAGCATAATATTCTCTCCCTTAATTATAGCAAAACAACTATTCCATCCTTACGACTTTGCAAAGAATGACTCTTGTTTTCTATAATTAATATTGCCAACTTGCAATACTTGCCTTAATAATCATACAATCATAACATTTATGCTCCCACTATCATGATGATTATTATAAACATAACACTTATGCTCCCACTAGCTTTGACATGTATTCATAAACATCTTAACTTTCAGAAAAACAATACCTATTGAATTTCTTAAGTCCATGTTTCTAATACTTAATGCTTTGATAATCT